AATGAGATAGTATCTAATGATCCCTAAAAGAAATTATGAGTCCGTTAGAAGAAAGGAGCTTCACCAAAGCAATTTAATATCATGTATGATTATTCAACATTTAGGTTGAATCTTGGCATTGAAGAATATTACTGACAAAGCAAGCATCCAACGAGATTACACAAACTTCTTATTCTTTTTCCTGCAATTGCTTCTCATCACTCAACTGTTAGAATCATATTCTTTTACTCAGAATTCCTCTGGTTTTGCTCTCGAGGGCATAATTCAACTTGCTTATAATACAGTTAGACTCCATTGTCACTTCAAAGTAGATGACTGTAACATCAAATGAAGTCAAGATTTGCCAGAAACTGTTAACTCACCTCTAGGTAATAATATATTTTTTAACTTTTGTAAGTGTGATGAAGACTTTTGCAGATAAGCTCATAAAAACTACATTTTGATTCAAATTAAAACACCTGATTGCCTCCTCTATGTGTGGAAATTGTATTGGTTAGATTGTCCTCAGCTTCAAGTAACATAAACTCTGACTCAAATTGTCTTTTTTTTTGACCCGTCATTATCTTTTTAATTTTCATGACAGCTTTCCCTTTTTTAAAATACTAAATATTTAATATGTAAATACTAAAAACAGACTCCTGCACAAGCAGTAGGCCAAATAAGAAATCAAATGGCAAATCAAAATACATCTCAAAACAAAAGAAAAAGAAAACATAATGTTCCAAAACCTATGGGGTGCAGCAAAAGTAGATGCTAGAGTGAAATTTATGATATAAATGCTAGTATTAAGAAAAAAACAATTTGGGGCACCTGGGTGGCTCAGTCGGTTAAGCGGCTGCCTTTGGCTCAGGTCATGATCCTGGGGTCCTGGGATCAAGCCCCGCATCAGGCTCCCTGCTCAGCAGAGAGCCTGCTTCTCCCTCTCTGCCTGCCTCTCTGCTTACTTGTGCTCTCTATCTCTCTGTCAAAATAAAAATAAAATCTTTAAAAAAAAAAAGAAAGAAAAAAACAATTTAACATTACACCACAAGGAACTAGAAAAAGAAGAAAGGTAACTGAAATTTAGTAGAGGAAGGAAATAACAAGGAAAAATCAGAAATAAAAAAATAGAGACCAGAGTAAACAATAACATAACATTGAAAGTAAGGACCAGTTTTTCCAAAAAATAAACAAATTTGGCAATGCTTTAGCTACATTAACTGAGGAAAAAAGAAAGAAGGCTCAAAAACCAAAATGAGAAATGGAAGAGAAAACATTACAACAGATATCACAGAAATACATAGTGAGATAAGAGATTACTATAAACATTTATATACTAACAAATCAGATAACTTAGAAAAAAACCAGGTAATTCCTAAAAATGCACAAATTACCAAGATTGAATCATGAATCTTGAATCTAAGAAGTGGGAAATCATCTTCTACCAATAACAAGAATGAAAGTTGACTTAGGACTGAAAAATCTCCTAGCACAAAAAAACCCAAGACTACCTGGTTTCACTGGAGAATTCTGTCAAACATTTCAAAAAATAATTACAATCTTTATCAAAATCTTATAAATAGTAGAATAGAGGGAACACACTCAAAATCATTCTGTGAGGCCAATATTACTCTGACACCAAAGCAGGATAAAAACAACACAAGTACAAAAAAGTCTAGTTTGTCAGACATAACCTTTGCTACTCCCGCTTTCTTTTGACATCCATTTGCGTGATGTTTCTAAATCTAAAGGTGTCTTTACATCTAAAATGAGTCTCTTGTAGGCAGCATATAGATGGGCCTTGTTTTTTTAACCCATTCTGACACCCTCTGTCTTTTGATTGGAGTGTTTAGTCCATATACATTCAAAGTAATTATTAATAGGTATGTATATTGCCATTTTATTACTTGTCTTTCTGGAGATTTTCTCTGATCCTTTCTGTCTTTTATAGTTCGCTGATTTTCTTTGGTGATATAGTTGGATTTCTTTCTCTGGATTTATTTGCATAGTTATTTGTGGTTTTTGATATATGGTTACCATTAGGTTTGTATATAACCTTTTGTGCATATAGCACTCTCTATTAAGTTGATGGTCATTTAAGTTTGAACCCATTCTTTACTCCTCCTTACGTTTTAGGTATATGTTGTTATATTTTATATCCTTTTATTTTGTGAGTTCCTTGACTGATTTTTTTATAGAAATATTCATTTTCACTACCTTTGTGTTTTCTACCTTTATACTGTTAGTTTTGTTCTCTCCTTTCCACTCAAAGAATCACCTTTAATATTTCCTGCAGGGCTGTATTAGTAGTCATGAACTTCTTACGTTTTTGTTTGTCTGAGAAACTCTTTGTCTCTCTTTCTATTCTGAATGATAGCCTTGCTGGAAGAGTATTCTTGGCTACAGATTTTTCCCACTCAGCACTTTGACTATATCATGCCACTCTCTTCTGATTTGGAAATTTTCTGCTGAGAAATCCCTTGCTAGCCTTATGGGTTTTCTTTTGTAACTCACTGTCTTCTTTTATCTTCCTCTTTTAAATTTTTTTCTTTATCACTATATTTTGCTAATTCATTACAGTATGTCTTGGTGTGCATCTGCTTTTGTTGATTGTGATGGGAGTTCTTTGTACCTCCTGGATCTGGATATGTTACCCTCCCCAGATGAGGGAAGTTTTCAGCTATCGTTTCTTCGAATAAATTTTCTGTGCCCCTTTCTCTTTTTTCTTCTGGGACTCCTATGTTTCATGGAGTCACTGAGTTCCCTGTCTATTTTCATGTTGTGTAATTGCTTTTTCTCTCTTGTTCAGCTTGATTACTTTCCATTACTCTGTCTCCTAGGTTACTAATTTCTTCCTCTGTTTCTTGCATCCTGCTGTTCATTCCATCAAGTGTGTTTCTCATCTTTTAAAAAAATTAATTTAAATTCAGTTAATTAATATAGAATATATTATTAGTTTCAGAGGTAGAGTTCAGTGATTCATCAGTCTTATGTAACACCCAGTGTTCATTACCTCACGTGCCCTCTTTAATGTTCATCATCCAGTTACCCCATCCTCCCACTCCCTCCCCTCCAGTAACCCTCAGTTTGTTTCCTATGATTAAGAGTCTCTTATGGTTTGTCTAGTGTGTGTTTTTCATCTTGTTTATTGAACCCTTTATCTCTGTCATGTTATTTCTTTTTTTTAAGATTTTATTTATTTTAGAGTGAGAGAGAGAGTGTGAGCCAGGCGGGGAGGGGAGAGGGAGAGGGAGAGGGAGAAGCAGACTCCCCACTGAGCAGGGAGCCCGATATGGGGCTCGATCCCAGGAGCCCGGGATCACGACCTGAGCTGAAGGCAGCTGCCAACCGACTGAGCCACCTAGGCACCCCTTCCTTGTTATTTCTTATCTCTGTGTTAAGGGTCTCACTCATGTCTTTCACTCCTTTCTCAAGTCCAGTGAGTGTCCTTAAGATCATTACTTTAAATTCTCTATTGGGTATGTTACTTATATCTCCTACATTTAGATCACTGGCCATGGCCTTGTCTTCTTCTTTCATTTGGGATAAATTTCTCTGTCTTCTCATTTTGTTTAAGTTTTTGTGCCTTTTTCCTCTGTGTTAGGAAAGTCAGCTGTATCTCCTGTTCTTGGAGGGTAATAGCCTTATGAAAAGAGGTCCTGTAGTGCCCTGCTGTGTAGTGTCCCTTGTCCCCCAGGGCCTGGCACTTTTGGGAGTGTCTCCAATGGGTGCTGTGTTTGCTGTGCTGTTTTGTCTTGGCTGCTTTATCCTTCAGGCCAATCATCTGCAGAGTCTCTCTTTGCCTCTTGTGGGCAGTGTTTGGTCCCTGGCCTGAATGTGGCACGTTTAAACTAGGTATACTCTGGTCTATTTGTGAAATGAGATGTCAGCTGGCTCTGCAAAACTCCTATGTTGGGAGATGTGGCATGAGCAGAGGTTTGACTCGTCTTCTGGGGGATGGGGCCTCCTGTGTCGGGACAGAGGCAAGCATGACTGGGAGGGGGGATTCCATGGGAGTGTGGGGTGGGGGCAGGGCTCTGTGTAAGCAAGTTAGGTAGCAAGTATCAGTGCTGTGCTGGTTTCCACAGATGGCCCTATGCTTATGCTGAGGGGCAGGTATAGGAAAATGATGCCTGACAGTCCCTTTTTTGCTGGAGGGTCTCTCTGTGAACACTCTCTTGGATGGGCTCTGAGATGAGTGAATAACCTCCCCACTGTGTGCCCTAGGCACTCTTCAGATCACTGTTTACACACTGGTATCCACAGGTTGTTTGCCTGCCTTTTTTTCCAGAGCAGTATACTGCCCTCTGGGTTCTATCCCAGCCAAGCCCACTGACCTTTAACACTCTAGGCTTCAAGTCCTGCTGGTTGCACCAAACCACAGAATTTGGCCCCTCTCACTATCCAAGCCAACTGCTATGGGGATTCATTTTCCCCACCAGCTCCCCTGTGTGCTAGTCTGTCTCTCACCAGAAGAAATCATTTTAATATACGATGTACAAATATGAGTCATTATATGTATGTTTAATCATTGTGATTACAGGGTAATCATCACTGAGTGTATTTTAAAGAGTTTAGAATAGTATAAAATGGCTCCCCACTTTCCAGCTTCTACTCACAAAATGCCAATAAGTTACTATTTTCCCACTATCAAAGTAATTATCATGGTACAAGCTAAACAGCTGAATACGTTACTTTGAAAAAATTAAAATACAGACAGATATGATGTATAGACAAATAAAATACAGGTAGATATGTTTTTATTATTTCATACGAATGTAAGTTGACATATAGAATTGATTTTTCCCCCTTCTGAATAAAATTCCCAAATGCTGTTATCCTCTCATAATTCTCAAAAATTTGCAAAAGGTTACTTAGAAAAATTAAGGCAGAGAATAGCTTTCATGAGAGGTTTTAGATAGTTTTACGTAATAGTGGAAGTGTTTTTGTTGCTAACATTCTCAAATTTAAAATAGACCTGTTTCCTTATAAAATCTCTTCTATTGTCACAATGAATTTCTTGAGTGTAAGGCAGTTCTTTTACTGTCAGATAAATGTTTATAAGGATTTCTACCAAATGAGATTTAAAGTAAGAATTGAGATGTATCTAGCAATTTCAGTATTTGATGTAATTTGTTTTAGAAATTCCTAAAAAGGTAAAATGCATAAAAATACATTAGTTGATTAGATAATGTTGAATTATAACAGCACACAGAATAGCAACTAGTGTAAATCCTATCACAAGGATTAGAACAAATGTATCATTACTCATTTCTATCCTGGGCTTTTCATCTTTCTCTTTACCAGTGCTGCTTCTCCCCTTTTGTCCACCACCTTTTCCAGGCCTTGGATGTTGCTTATGAGTTGAGAAGAGAACGCTGGGGCTATATGGTCCCCAGAGCTCTTGTATCCCAGCAGAATTCTGATATTGGCGTCCAGCACAGACCTTGAAGTGATAATGTGCATTTGTCACAAAGTTGGAAAAGGAGAATGAAGTGTCTGGTCCTTTATATATCTAAAGAAAAATGAGACAAAATGAAAATTTTATTGTCTTACCAAATAAAAAATATGGTATAGTTTTTGACAACAAGAAAACTATGAATTAACCCATTCACCTCATAAATACATTCAAAGCAAAACTAAAAGTTTATGCTTACAGTCTCTAATATCATGAGGACCCAGTACTATTAGGTAATTTTGTCCAGTGTAAGAAATAACAAAGACTTATAATTGTTAAACTTTAATTGCATTTGGTTTGGAGTGAGTTGTGCATGTGATCAGTGAAACCTAGAAATATCAAATCATTCAATAGTAATATGTTAATTGAATGAATAATCAAATTGTCCCAAAATAATATGTACATAAAGCATTAGGGAGAAGGTAGGACTTTTGGATAAGATTTCATCGCTTTAAACATTCTAAAAGGGTATCTTACTCCTCAACAAGAGCTCAATTCCCAGTAGAATATAAAATTATAAAATTTTAAAGACTAAATTTGCAAGAATTTACCAGGTCAGTTCCTTTTTGACTGATGAGTTGAAGATTGTAAACAATGGGATCTTCTTTTATTGGCTCCAAAGACTCCCATTTGATCTCACAAATACTGCTATTCACATGCTGTAATTTAGGTGCTAGAAAAAGAGAATTTCAGTTTAGAGGGTTTCATTTTTCCTAGATGATCTTGAATATGTTGAATTCTGATACAGTTTTCCATGATGATTAAAAGGCAGTCCATGTACACTTAATCTAAGAAATATATAGTTATATTTCTTAGTATAAAGCCTTTTGCAATACCATCAAGCATCTGAATAATTGTAATAAAAACTTCAAGAACTTAAAACTGTCAATAATGCGTGTTTGTTTGTTACTAAGACCTTATGAGTTTTATTACTATTGTTTAATCCCTACTGGTATAATCTTTTTCATTGTATTTATATGGTGCATCATATATTTGGAAGCATTTCACATACATTAACAATTTTTTAAAAGATTTTATTTATTTATTAGAGAGAGAAGGGAGGAGGGGCAGAGGGAGAGGGGAAGAATCCTAAGCAGACTCCGGACTAGGCATGGAGCCTGATGTGGGGCTCAGTCCCACGACTCTGAGATCATGACCTGAGCTGAAACCAAGAATCCGATGCTCAACTGACTGCACCACCCAAGTGCCCCACATACGTTAATAATTTTATTTTAGGATCACAGCAACTGTGTGAGGAAAGGAGGGCAGGGTCTTTATGTTATTAGTCTCTATACATTTCAGGAAAATGAATCTTAAATATATAAGAAGAGAACAAGGAATTATTGTGGTCTAAGTCATGTTTAATTCCAGTATGTTCCAGTTAGCTTTTCACTGAAAACAGACTACTTCATAATAGTGATTGGACTTGTGTGGAAAGATTGGAACAACTGAATTTCACAAATGAGAAGGAAAAAATGCTCAAAGCTTGAGCTTTCATGACTGTAAGTTGACCTTGTTATGTATTATAGGAAGCAGTCAATTTCACTGTTCAAATAGGGAGATTAAATTCAGTTTCAGAAATTACCAACTGTGTACTAATTACCAAATATGAAGTTACATATTTGTACTAAATATGTATGAATATGTACCATATATTAAGTATATTTTTTAGCTTTAATCAGTATAATTAAACCTATCAGCTGATATTTGTGTGTGTGTGTGTGTGTGTGTGTGTGTGTGTGTGTGTGTTTTAATCCATTTGAGAACATGTGAGATGAGCAAGGAATGGATATCATGACAAAGTAGAAGGAGAACTATGATGGGGATCAGGAGCCTACCATACCAATTATAGCTCTGCTGCTGGCTCACAGTGTTCTTTAGTTACGTTACTTACCATTCAGGGAATTCGCTTCTTTCTCTTAAAAAATGGGCTGTGGTGGTAGAGTGATTGGCTGAATTAGTTGATTTCAAAGATATTTTTTTAAATATTATGATTTTGGGGGGCAGAGTAGTAGGACCCTAGGCCTGTCATGTCCCACTAACACTACTGGATAACTATCAAATTACCCTAAATACCCCAGAAATCGACCTGAAGACTGATGGAACAAACTCCACAACTAAAGGGAGAGAAGAGGCCACATTGAAGAAGGTAGGAAGTGTGGAGACATGATTTAGGGGAGAAATGGATCCTGGCTACCATGGAGAGGAGGTTGCCTGGTTGTGGAGAAGGGTGAGAGAGAGAGGAGCACACAGGGCAATGCACAAGGAGAATGCTTCCCTATAACCACTGGGTTGGAAAACAAGAGGGGCTGAATTTCATGAGTTCTTGCAACCAGTGAGTCTTAAAGCCTGGAGTTTTAAAAGTTGGTGGCCTTGGCTGGGATAGAGCTCTGCTCTTGGAGAGAATGCAGGCAAACAACCCAGGGGTATACAGTGAGGAAACAGGAATCTGAAGAATGCCTGGGACTCATGGAGGGGAGATTTTTCACTCTTCTTGGAGTGCTTCTTAGAGGGGCAGTGTTTATGGAGATACCTCTCAGTGAACAAAGCAGCTGGCTGGTACCATTTCCCTCCCTGGCCTAAGCATAAACACAGAGCCACCTATACTGGCTGCCTAACTTGCTTGCACCAAGTCCCATGCCCCTATGCTCTTGCAGTTCTGCTCTTCTCAGTCAAGCTTGTTTCAGTCCCAGTGCAGCAGCCCCCTCCCCTAGAAGACCAGCACAAACCTCTGCCCACACCATGTCTTCCAACCTGAGAGTTCTGCAGGGCCTCAGTTCTAGTGGAAGTTAGTATCAGGTCTCATTTCACAAGAATATCAGAGCACATCTAGTTAACACCACATTCAAGCCAGAGCCCAAACACTGCCCAGACAAGGCAAGGAGAGCCTCTGCAGGTGACTGGCCCGAAGGATAGAGCAGACAAAACACAACAGTAGAGCACACAGCACACACCAGAGATGCTTCCTGAACTGCCAGGTCCTGGACACCATGTGACCTCTTCCTCATAAAGCCATTACTTTCAGGAGCAGGAAACATAAGTGGCTTTTCTAACACAGAGAAGAAGGAAGAGACTTAGACAAAATGCCACGATGGAGGAATTTATCCCAAGTGAAAGAACAAGATAAGGCCATGGCAGGAGATCTAAGGGAAACAGATATAAGTAACATGCCTGATAGAGAATTTAAAGAAACAATAAAAAATTTTTAAAAAGCAACAAGATACTTACTGGGCTTGGGAAAACAGTTGAAGACATCAGGGAGACCCTTACCACAGAGATAAAAGAGTTTAAAAAGAATAAATCAGATCAAGAATGCAATAAATGAGCTTGGAAAGAGGCTCAGTGCAATAAACAGCAGGCTACAAGAAGCACAGGAATGAATGAATGACCTAGAAGAGAAAGTAATGGAAAATAAACTGAACAAAAGAGAGAAGAATTATGGAGCAAGAGAATAGACTTAGGGAACTCACTGACTCCATCAAATGTAGTAACATATGTATGATAGGAGTCCCAGAAGAAGAGAGAGAGAAGGGGGCAGGAAATTTATTTGAGGAAATAATAGCTGAAAACATCCCTAAACTGGGGAGAGAAACAGACATCCAGATCCAGGAGGCACAGAGAACTCCCATCAAAAAAAAAAAAAAAAAAAAAAAAAGGCCAACACCAAGAGATACTGTATTGAAATTTGCAAAATATAGTGATAAAAAAATTAAAAGCAGGAAGACAAAAGAAGTCCTTAACTTATAAGGCAACACCCATAAGGCTAGGTGGAGATTTCTCAATAGAAACTTGGCAAGTGAGAATGGAGTGGTATGGTATATTCAAAGTACTGAATGGGAAAAATCTTCAGGCAAGAATACTCTATCCAGCAAGGCTGTCATTCAGAATAGAAGGAGAGATAGAGTTTCCCAGACAAAGAAAGGAGTTCATGACCACTAAACAGCCCTGCAAGAAATATTAAATATTTTCCACTCATTGACTGGAAAGACCAAAAGTGACAAAGATAGGAAAGGATCAAAGAAAATCCCCAGAAACAACAACAAAACAAGTAATAAAATGGCAATAAATACATATGTATCAATAATTGCTTTGAATGTGAATGGATTAAATGCTCCAATCAAAAGACATTGGGTGTCAGAATGGATAAAAAACACAAGACCCATTGATATGCTGCCTATAAGAGACTCATTTTATTTTTTCAAAAATTAAAAAGATTTTAGAGAGAGAGAGAGTGCATGAGCAGGGGGGAGGGGCAGAGGGAGAGGGAGAAGCAGGCTCCCTGCTGAACAGGGAACACAACGGGGCTTGATTCCAGGACCCCGGGATCATGACCTGAATTGAAGGCAGATGCTTAACTGACTGAGTCACCCAGGCATCCAAAGAGTCTCATTTTAGGCATAAGCACACCTGCAGTTTGAAAGCGAGGGGATGGAGAAACATATATCATGCAAATGTATGTCAGAGGAAAGCCAGAGTTGCAATAATTTTATTGGACAAACTAGACATTAAAACAAAGCCTGTAAGAAGTGATAAAGAAGGGCAGTATATCATAATAAAGGGGACAATCCAACAGAAGATCTAACAATTGAAAATATGCCCCAACATGGGATCACCCAAATATACAAACCAATAACAAACATAAAGGAACTAATTGATAATAATAAAATCATAGTAGGGGACTTTAACACTCCATGTACATCAATGGGCAGATTGTCTAAGCAGAAAATGAATAAGGAAACAATGGCTGTGAATGACACACTGGACCAGATGGTCTTAACAGATATATTCAGAACATTCCACCCTAAAGCAGCAGAATACACATTCAAGCACATATGGGACATTAGCCAAATAGATTAGATACTAGGTCACAAATCAGGCCTCAAGAAGCACAAAAAGATTGAGATCATACTATGCATTTCTTTCTGACCACAACGCTAAGAAACTTTAAGTCAACCACAAGAAAAAAATTTGGAAAGAGCCAAGATGCCCTTCAACAGATGAATGGATAAAGAAGATGTGGCCTAGATATACAATGGAATATTACTCAGCCATCAGAAAGGATGAATACCCAACTTTTACATCAACATGGATGGGACTGGAGGAGATTATGCTAAGTGAAATAAGTCAAGCAGAGAAAGTCAATTATCATATGGTTTCACTTATTGGTGGAACATAAGGAATAGCATGGAAGACATTAGGAAAAGGAAGGGAAAAATGAAGCAGGGAATCAGAGGGAGAGATGAACCATGAGAGACTATGGACTCTGGTAAACAAACTGAGGGTTTTGGAGGGGAGGGGGGAGGGGGGATTGGTTAGCCCAGTGATGGGTATTAAGGAGGGCATGTACTGCATGGAACACTGGGTGTTATATGAAAACAATGGAACGTAGATCACCACATCAAAAACTAATGATGTACTGTATGGTGACTAACATAACAATAAAATTCAAAAAAAAAATTGGAAAGATCACAGATACATAGAAGTTAAACAAAGGGCCAAACAGGAAATCAAAGAAGAAATAATACATGGAAATAAATGAAAATGAAAACACAGTGGTCCAAAACCTTTGGGATGCAGCAAAAGTGGTGATGAGAGGGAAGTATATAGCAATAAGGCCTACTTCAAGAAGAAAATAAACAACCTAACCTTACAGCTAAAGGAACCAGAAAAAGAACAACACACAAAGCCTAAAGCCAGAAGGAAGGAAATAATAAAGATTAGAACAGAAATAAATGATACAGAATCTAAAAAACAGTAGAACAGATCAGTGAAACCAGGAGCTGGTTTTTTGAAAAAAATAAAATTGATAAACCCCTAGTCAGGCTTATCAAAAAGAAAGAGAAAGACCCATATACCTAAAATCACAAATGAGAAATAACCAACACCACAGAAATACAACTGTAAGACAATATTATGAAAAACTATATTCCAGCACATTGGACAATCTAGATGAAATGGATAAATTACTAGAAACTCAAACTACCAAAACCAAAACAGGAAGAAATAGAGAACTTGAGCAGGCCAATAACCAATAAAATTGAATCAGTAATCAAAAAACTCCCAACAAACGTCCAGGCCAGATGGCTTCACAGATGAATTCTATCAAACATTTAGGGAAGAGTTACTACCCCTTCTTCTTAAACTATTCTAAAAAAACAGAAAAGGAAGGAAAACTTCCAAACTCATTCTTTGAAGCCAGCAGTACTCTGATACCAAAACCAGAGAAAGACTCCACTAAAAAAGAGAATTACAGGTCAATATCCCTCATGAACATGGATGCAAAAATTCTCAAAAAATACTAGGAAACTGAGTCCAAGTACACATTAAAAAAATCATTAGTACAATCAAGTGGGGTTTATTCCTGTGTTGCAAGTGTGGCTCAATATTCCCAAATCAATCATTGTGATACACCACATTAATCAAAGAAAGGATAAGAACCATATGATTATTTCAATGGATGTATAAAAATCATTTGACAAAATACATCTATCTGTGATAAATGCCCTGAATAAAGTAGATTTAGAGGGAACATCCCTCAACATAATAAAAGTTATATATGAAAAACCAAGAGCTAATATTCTCCTCAGTGGGGGAAAATTGAGAGCTTTTCTGCTATGGTTAGGAAGAAGACAGGAATGTCCACTCTCACCACTGTTATTTAACACAGTTCTGCAAGTCCCAGCCTAAGCAGTAGAAAACAAAAAGAAAGAAAAGCCATCCAAAGCAGCAAGGAAAAAGTAAAACTCTTACTCTTTGCAGATAACATGATACTTTATACATAAAATCCAGAAGAATCCACCAAAAAATTGCTAGAACTGATATACAAATTCAGAAAAGTTACAAGATACAAAATCAATGTACAGAAATCTGTTGCATTTCTATACACCAATAATGAGGCAGCAGAAAGAGAAATTAAGGTATCAGTTCCATTTATAGTTGCACTAAAAACCATCAGATACCTAGGAATAAACCTAACCAAAGAGATGAAAGACCTGTACTCTGAGAACTGTAAAATATTAATGAAAGAAATGGAAGAGGACACAAAGAAATGGAAAGACATTCCATGCTCATGGATTGGAAGAAAATATACTGTTAAAATGTTTATATTACCCAAAGCAATCTACACATTTAATGCAATCCCTATCAAAATACCACCGCATTTTTTCACAGAGCTAGAACAAACAATCCTCCAATTCGTATGGAACCATGAAAGACCCTGAATTGCCAAAGCAATTTCGAAGAAGAAAAACAATGCTGGAGGTATCACAATCCCAGATTTAAAATTATACTACAAAGCTGTAGTGATCAAAACAGTTTGGTACTAGCACAAATATAAACACACAGGTAAATGGAACAGAATAGAGTACCCAGAAATGAAAATTGGTCAATGACCAAATGAAATTTGGTCAATTAATCTTTCATAAAGCAGGAAAGAATATCCAGTGGGAAAAAGTCTCTTCAACAAATGGTGTTGGGATAATTGGACAGCAACATCCAAAAGAATGAAACTGGACCATATTCTTATACCATACACAAAAATGAATTCAAAATGATTTAAAGACCTAAATGTGAGAGAGGAAATCATAAAAATCCTAGAGGAAAAAACAGGCAGTAATCTCTTTGACATCAGCTGTGGCAACTTCTTTCTAGACATGTCTCCTGAAGCAAGTGAAACAAAATTAAAAATAAGCTATTCGGACTTCAAGACAAAAAGCTTCTGCACAGTAAAGGAAAAAAACAAAACTAAAAAGCAGCTTACTGAATGGGAGACGATATCTGCAAATGACATATTCAATAAAGGGTTAATATCCAAAATATATAAATACCTTATGAAACTCAACATATAAAAAAATGAATAATCTAATTAAAAATGGGCAGAAATTAGTAGACATTTTTCCAAAGAAGACATACAGATGGCCAACAGGCATATGAAAAGTTGCTCAACATTACTGATTATCAGGGAAATTCAAATCAAAACTACAATGAGATATCACACCACATCTGACAGAATGGCTAAAATCAACAACACAAGGAACAACTGGTTAAATTGTCTAAAATTAACAGAAGAAACAAGTGTTGGTGAGGATGTGGAGAAAGGGGAACCCTCTTGCACTTGGTGGGAATGGAAACTGGTGCAACCACTCTTGAGAACAGTTTGGGGGTTCCTCAAAAAGTTAAAAAATAGAACTACCCTACAATCCAGCAATTGTACTAGTAGGTATTTACCCAAAGGATACAAAATACAGATTTGAAGGGATATGTGCAACCCACTGTTTATAGCAGCATTATCAACAATAGCCAAACTGTGGAGGGAGCCCAAATGTCCATTGACTGATAAATAGATAAATAAGAAGTGGTATATTATACAATGGAATATTATTCTGCCATCAAAAAGAATGAAATCTTGCCATTTGCAATGACATGGATGGAGCTAAAGTGTATTATGCTTAGTGAAATAAGTCAGTCAGAGAAAGACAAATATCATGTGATCTCATGCATATGTAGAATTTAAGACAGAAAACATGAACATATGGGAAGGGGGAAAAGAAAAAAAAGGAGAGAGCGAAATAAGCCATAAGTGACTCTCAATGATAGAGAACAAACTCAGGGTCGATGGAGGGAGGTGAGTGGAGGATGGGCTAGATGGGTGATGGGTATTAAAGAGGGCACTTGTGATGAGCACTGGGTGTTGTATATAAGTAATGAATCACTGAACTCTACTCCAGAAACCAATATTGTACTGTATGTTAACTAATAAAATTTAAATAAAGTGAAAAAAAAAACTGCATTATGATCCAGCATTTGCGGTACTAGGTATTTACCCAAGGAATACAAAAATACTAGTTCAAAGGGATATGTACACCTTGATGTGTATCGCAGCATTATCTACAATAGCCTAATTATGGAAACAACCCAAATGTCCATCATTTGATGAATGGATAAAGAAGTGGTATATATTTACAGTGGAATATTATTCACCCACAACAAGAATGAAATCTTGCCATTTGCAAAGATGTGGATGGAGCTAGAGAGTATTATGCCAAGCCAAATAAGGTAGTCAGAGAAAGGCAAATACCATATTTCACTCATATGTGGAATTTAAGAAAAAAAATAAATGAGCAAAGGAAAAAAAGAGTGAGAATTAAACGAAGAAACAGGCTCTTAACTATAGAGTACAAACTGATGGTTACCAGAGGGGAGGTGGGTGAGGTGATGGATTAAATAGGTCGTGGGAATTAAGGAGTGTACTTGTGATGAGTACTGGGTTTTGTATGGAAGTGTTGAATCACTATATTGTACACCTGAAACTAATAGTATACTGTGCGTTAACTAATGAATTAAAAAAAAACTTTTTAAAAAGTAAAACATTATAATTTTTGGAGTCTTATTAAATTCTAAATTGCACCTTGAATCCATAATTAAGCACTAGAGTCTTCTGCTATTGTTCAACATTTAAAATAGACTGTATTGCAGAATTTTATATCTGAGCTATTGGAGTTCATATTAATGCAACCTTTATTGTCTGGCTTATAATACTTACCTTTAAGTTTGGCTGGTGGAGTTTTGGTTGTAGTGAAAGTATAGATACAAGACAGTGGTCCCTCACCAGCTTCATTACATGCTTGGATTTTAAATTTGTATTGCATATATTCACTCAGTCTGTGCACTTTGTGAGTCTGACAAGGTCCATGGTAAATGATAGAAAATCTGGGATTGGGAATCAAGATGGGAGAAGCAATATTATTAATCAAAGTTCACTTAGGTACAAGTAACTCTAGACTTGAAACTGGTCCTCAGTAAATCCTAAATAAATCAACTTGAAGCCTGGTGGGTACAACACAAAAGGAAAAAAAAAATCAGGTTGTAAATGTCATAATGGCAAGGTGCTGGCTTTCATATTCCTTTTGTAACTTCTATTCCTTGTTATTAATGTGTGTTATATAAAGGAAGAAATGTTTTGGAAGAACAAAAATAGCTAAATTATCAGTAGGAATTTAAGAAACTATCTAACATGATAATGTACTGCTTTCACATCTATCAGTTCATTGAAACCGCTTTGGATTATATGTTTAAGATAGGAAATTTTAAAACATTTTTATTAGAATACATGTTAAATAGTACAGATAGCTTACCTCTCAGATTGATCTCCTATTAACAAATTGTAGCTTATAAGGTTGGAAAGTAACCCTTTGCTTGAAGAGATACCCCATTTCAGTTTGAGGCTTTGGTGTCCATAGACCACACAATCAAGATGAGGAGGATCAAGTGGTAGTGGCTTGGTTTTGGTTCTTATTGATTGGCTAAAAGGGCTTAGTCCATAATGATTGATAGCTTGAATTCTGATTCTAGTGGTGAGAAAAAAAAATTAAACTATTAATTTGGATTTAGAAAGGAAAATAAATTTCTACATTTAAACTATGCCCCTAGTCACCCTATGAAAAGATACTGACCATATTATACTGATTATTATAGTCAAATTTTTGAGGCGAAAATCTTGAATTTGCATTATCAGTATTGACAATTTTTGATGAGGAGAAACTGGCTTTTAGTAATGCCAAATATTTCTAAAATAGTAAAATTCTCCTTCAAAAAATGTGTAGACTATATAAAACAAAGAAATGTAGATTTAGTAGTGCCAGATTTTTCTAAAACAGTAAAATTCTCTTTTCAAAAAATGTGTAGATTATATAAAACAAAGAAATGTAGATTTGTTCAAAATTCTTAGAAAAACTTCATCTACCCAAAGTAAGATACAAGCAACTTACTTGTATGTGGTATCAGGCTGTAGATTTTTTAGAAGACACTCTGTTACTCTTTCAACAGTCAGAATTTTTTTGTCTCCATATTCAATGTTATATCCAGTGATTGGAGAGCCATGACAATCAGGTTCCTCCCATTGAATAGCAATGCAAGATGATGCCAATTTGGCAGGAACTTTGTTTTTGACTTCATGGAGCATTGGTACTACTGCTGGTACAGTTGCTGGTGTGGTTACTGTGCCAGTTTCTTCAAACAGTCCAACTCCAACTACATTTGCAGCCTGAAAAAGTATATTCTGTTAGAGCTTCATTATTTTGTTTTGTGCATAAACCATTTTGTTCTATAAAAACAAGACAAAAATTTTAACCTCAAATTCTAAGAAAATGTTTTTTTTTTAAATTGAGGTAGAATTGCTCTATAACATTGTGTAAGTTTAAAGTGTATAACTTATTGATTTGATACTTTTTGTTTTTTTAGAGAGAGAGAGTATGCAAGTGGTAGGGAGGGGCAGAGGGAGAGGGAGAGAGAGAATCTTAAGCAGGCTCCATGCCCAGAACAGAGCCCAATGTGGAGCTTGATCTCACGACTCAGATCATGACCTGAGCCAAAATCAGGAGTAGGAGGCTTAACTGACTGAGCCATCCAGGTGCCTCTGATTTGATACATTTATATATTGCAGTATGAAACAAAATGACTTGAAGATGCTCACATAGACACCAAAATCTTTAGGTTACATATTTAAGGTAAAAAGTCTAAATATGTGAAGGTAAGTGAAGAATACTAATATGGACATTTCAGGAAAAATATACCTGAACTGAACTCATCACTTAGCCCACTAAAGTTTCTTTCTTTCCTTTATTTTCTAGTTACTATCTCTGTTGGTGGTAGCCTGAAGTTCACATCAATTCACTGTTTTATTGATTTTGTAAATTTTTTTTATTTTGAGATCATTGTGGACTTAAATGTACAATTTACACACTTTACCCCAAAAGGAACATTTTGCATAACTATAGTACAATATACAACCAGGAAATTGACATTGATAAAATCCATTGACATTATTCAGATTTCACCAGTTTTACATGCACTCATTTGTATAGTGTTATACATAGTTTTATCAGATGTGTAGCTTAATGTGACAACCAACAGTTAAGATATTCCATTGCAAGTATCCCTTGTACTACACTTTTATACTTACAGCAACTTCCTTCCCTCTTTTTCTAATCCTTGACAACTAGTAGTTTATTCTTTAACCTGTATTTTTGCTATTTCAAGAATGTTATATAAATAGAATAATGCAGTATGTAAATTTTTTAGATAGACTTTTTTTCAGTCAGCGTAATTCCCCTGAGATCCACTGAAGTTGTGTGAATCAATAGTTTGATTCTTTTTATTCCCAAATAGTATACCGTGTATGAATGTGCTAATTTTTAAAACTATATGTTGAAGGACATCTGAGTTATTTCTAGTTTTTGGCTTTTATAAATAAGGAGTTATGTATATCCATGTACGGGTTTTACTGTGGACATACATTTTCATTTCTCTGGGATAAAGTGCCCAAAACTGCTGGGCATATTAGTAAGTGCATGTTTAGTTTTGTAAGAAACTCCCATACTATTTTACAGAGTGGATGTAATTCACACCAGAAATGTATGATTAGTCCAGTTTTTTACGTCTTTGCCAGCATTTAGTGTTATTACTGTTTCTTATTAGCCATTTTGATTAGGTGTGTTGATATCTCACTGTGCATTTCCCTAATGACTAATAATGTTGTAGGTCTTTTCATGTGTTTATTTGCCATCTGTATATCCTCTTCTGTGAATGGTCTGTTCATGTCTTTTGCCTGTTTTGTAATTGAATTGTTTGGATTTTTAACTGTTGACTTTTGAGAGTTCTTTATATATTCTAGGTATTATTAGTCCACTGTCAGATATGTGTTTTGTAAAGATTTTCTTCCAGTCTATGCTTGTCTTTTTTGTCCTCCTCACCGGGTCTTATGCAGAGTAAAACTTCTTAAGTTTGAGGAGGTCAGGGGCACCTGCGTGGCTCAGTTGGTTAAGCATCTGCCTTCGGTTCAGGTCATGATCCCAGGGTCTTGGGATTGAGCCCCACATCGGGCTCCCTGCTCATCAGGGAGCCTGCTTCTCCCTCTCCCTCTGCCACTCCCCCTGCTTGTGCTCTCCTAGTCCCTCTCTCAAATAAATAAATAAAATCTTTAAAAAAACTTTGAGGAGGTCAAATTTATCAATTTTTCATTTTATGGATTGTGCTTTTGGTATGACGTTTAAGAACTCATTGCCTACATTAGATCCTGAAGATCTTCTTTGGTTTTTTTCCAAAAGCTTTATAGTTTTATATTTCAATTTTCAGTTTTCTACGGTCCATTTTGAGTTAATTTTTACATAAGTTGTGAAGTTTATGTTGATTACTCCAAAAAAGACATACACATGGATTACAGACACACAAAAAGATGCTCAACATCACTAATCATGAGGGAAATGCAAATCAAAACTATAATGAGATATCACCTCACACCTTTCAAAATGGCTAAAAAAACCCCACAATAAACAGCGAACATTGGCTAGGATGTGGAGAAAAAGTACCCCTCTTGCTCTATTGGTGGGAATGCAAACTGGTGCAGCCACTGTGGAAAGTGGTATGGAGGTTCCTCATAATGTTAAAAATAGGACTCCCCTACAGTCCAGTATTCACACTCTTTACCCCCCAAATACAAAAACACTAATTCAAAGGGATACATGTACCTCTTTGTGTATTGCAGCATTATTTATAATAGCCAAATTATGGAAGCATCCCAAGTACACATCAATAGATGAATGGGTAAAGGTGTGGTATATATGTATGACAGAATATTATTCAGCCATAAAAAAGAATGAAATCTTGCTATTTGTAATGACATGGATGGAGCTAGAGAGTATAATCCTAAGTGAAATAAGTCAGAGAAAGACAAATACCATATGATTTCACTCATATGTAGAATTTAAAAAAAAAAGAAATTAGGAAAGGAAAAAGAGAGAAACCAAGAAACAAACTCTAAATATAGAAAACAAACTTTTGGTTACCAAATGGGAAGGGGGTAAGGGGATGAGGTAAATAGGTGATTGGGATTAAATGGTGCACTTGTTGTGGTGAGCACTGGGTGATGTATGGAATTATTGAATCACTATATTGTACAGCTGAAACTAATGTAACACTGTATTTTAGCTATATTGGAATTAAAATACAAAAACGTGTGATGATAGCTATTCTGATGGGTATGGGATAATATCTCATGTAGTTTTGGTTTGGAAATATGTCTATTCAGTTACTCTGCTCATTATTTATTTATTTATTTATTTATTTATTTATTTAAGAGAGATATATGTATGTATATTTTAAAGATTTTATTTATTTATTTGACAGAGAGAGACACAGTGAGAGAGGGAACACAAGCAGGGGAAGTGGGAGAGGGAGAAGCAGGCTTCCCACAGGGCAGAGAGCCTGATATGGGGCTCGATCCCAGGACCCTGGGATCATGACTTGAGCCCAAGGCAAACGCTTAATGACTGAGCCCCAGGCACTCCTCTGCTCATTTTTAAATTGAATGATTACTATTTTGCTATTGAATTATATGAGTTCCTCATATATTTTAACCTTTGTGTCAGATATATGATTTCCAAATATTTTCTCTCATTCCATAGGTTTCTTTTTAACTTTTTAAAAAAGACTGTTTTTATTTATTTGAGAGAAAATGAGAGGGAGAGGGGGAGAGAATCTGAAACAGATTCCACACTGTCACAGTCCAACACAGGGCTCAATCCCACAGCTACAAGATCATGACCTGAGCCAAAACGAAGAGTCAGACGCCTAACCAACTAAGCCACCCAGGTGCCCTACCTTTTAACTTTTTTAATGTTTAATTTGCTGTGCTGAAGGATTTTAGTTTGATATAGTCCCACTTATTTATTTTTACTTTTGGTGCCTTTGCTGTTGGTGTCAAATCCAAAATATCATTGCCACAGCTATGTCAAGAGGCTTACCCCCTATGTTTTCTCCTAGGATTTTTATGATTTCAGTTCTTATGTTGAAGTCATTAAGTCATTTTTGATTGATTTTTGTGTATGGTGTAAGATAGTGGTTCAGTTTCATTCTTTGCACATGGCTGTCCAGTTTACTATTTAGAAGAGATAATCCATTTCCTCTTGTATATTCTTGTCTCCTATGATATAAATTAATTGACCATATGTCCTTTTTATCTCTGGGATCTGTATTCTGTTCCATTGATTTATGTATTGGTTTCTGTGCTAGTACCATAGTGTTTAGATTACTATAGCGTTGTAATACAGTTTGAAAGCAGGACATGTTATGCCTCTCCTTTTTTCTTTGTCAGGATTTTTTTTGGCTATTTGGAATCGTCTGTGGTTCCATAGAAATTTTAGAATTGTTTGTTTTATTAATGTGATAAATGTTACTAAAATTCTTATAGGGGTTGTGTTGAATCTGTAGATTCTGTGGTAGTTATAGATATTTTAACAACGTTAATTCTTCCAATCCATGGGCACAGAATATCTTTCCATTTATTTGTGTCTTCCTCAGTTTCTTTCAACAATGTCTTACAGTTTCAGTAAATAGATCCTTCACCTTGGTTAAATTTATTCCTTAGTATTTTATTCTTTTTGATGCAGTCATAAATGGGATTATCTACTTAGTTTCTCTTTCAGATTGTTATTAGTGTATAGAAACACAACTTGTTTTTTTTTTTAAGATTTATTTATTTGAGGGGGGTGGGGCAGAGAGAGAGGGAGAGAAAAAAATCCCAAGCACACTCCCCAGTGAACACGGAGCCCAACACAGGGCTCAATCCCACAACCCTGAGATCATGACCTGAGCCAAACCTGAGTCAGATGCTCAACCAACTGAGCCACCCAGGTGCCCCACACAGCTTACTTTTGTATATTGATTTTGTATGCTGTAACTTTATGGAATTCAATTATGATTTCTTTTTTTTTAAAGATTTTATTTATTTCATACACACACACACACACACACACACACACACACAAACACACAGCACAAGGAAGGGGAGTGGCAGGCAGTGGGGAGAAGAAGCAGGCTCTCTGCTGAGCAGGTAGCCCAGTGCAGGGCTTGATCCCAGGACTCTGGGATCATGACCTGAGCCAAAGGCAGACGCTTAACTGATTGAGCCACCCAGGCACCCTCAATTATGATTTTTTTGGTGGAGTCTTTAGAATGTTCTACATATAATGTATCACCTGAAAATAG